CTCAGGCAAGGCAATAATAGAGCATGCCTGTGACTGCTGGGACCCCCCTGTGGCTGAACTAATCCAGGGGGACAGGTCTGAGACATGATGCTCAGTATGCTACAAATACTGGCACACAACTACCAACACTAAGGGTGTCAATTCATCAGCATTGAAGCACTTATTAATATTTTGTTTCAGTCCCAGTTTCTGTTTGACTGATTCTTCCATAGCTTTGCAGGAAAAAAGAAACAAAAAATACATCAAAACATGCAACAGGAACAGTGTGACAACTTTTGCATAGAAAAAATCTGAAAAAATGTTGGTCAACACAAAAAATAATTGTCTATGTTCTTTCAGCTGACTTAATATTTCGATGAGCTGAATCCAAAAATCACATTTTGCTCCATCAGGTCAACTTTTTGAGCTATTGAGCTATTCTGTTTACATGCATTTTTTAATTTCATTTCAGTTTTATTTATTTCACATTCTAGAAATGAAATTGCTTACTTATTCAGACTGCAAGTTAACGAGGGATGTCATCAAAACGTCATTTACCTAATTCACTTCTGGTCATAGCATTTTAGTCAAAGTAAAGTGAAAAACCTCTATATTGCATAAAACGAAATGGCTTCAACCAGAAGATCTTGCAAAAACAAACTTGATGTATTCTGATACATCTGCGGTGAGTACACTCTTGTGCCTAAAAGGAATCCAGTAAAGCTGCCGTGCTTATTTTGTTATGAAACTTGGAGATCAGGACAAAGCTTGGGCGCCACACATGGTATGCAAAGCATGCACCGAGTATCTGCGTCAGTGAACAAAGGGAGAGAAGAGTTGTCTGAAACAGAAGTTCAAACACTAAATTTGGAACAATGATGACGGTAACACGCCCTTCACATGTCCATAACGTTAATTAATTAATCAATGGGGACTGCTACATTTACAGTAACTGATAACATTTCATCAATAAATTGTTAGAAAACTATGTTTATCTTAAAAATCTAATTTGAATTAAAAAAATTACTAAAAGTCAACCAATAATGTCAAAAAAATATATCCATAATAATCAGTTTTGAAAAAAAAAAATTTTTTTTTAAATAAACTTAGCATAAAAATGTGACCTGGTTGATATAAATGGATGTTATTTTTGGATTCAGTAGTGGATGTTTGTAATAAATTGTCAAAAGATAAACTATTTAAAAAAACATGTTTTTGTAACCCTGTGTAATAATGATAAAAGTACAAACTGCAAATAATTTCCCCATACACAAGAGGATTTTCATGTAACAAGTGAGAAAAAAACCCAAGTCTGTTTGAAGCTCTGTAACTCAGGCACAAGTCAGAGTAGAAACATTAACGTTTACACGGCCGAACTGGCATTTTTGATCGATTTTACTAATTTTATATTAATTGCCACTTGCGTTTTATACATCAAAGCACAATATCCTCTTTTACCCAGTGTGTTTCTCACTACATTAAGATTTACTTTTGTCAAAAGCCCCTAATGTCCTAATGTGTGCACATTCAAAATCCATTGACTTCAGTTGTGTCTGAGCTCAGTATCGTCCCAACACTGAAAGTGAAAGGTCTTTTAAACTTGTTAGATCTCCTACAAAATATACTGTAGACATATAAAAATTGATGTGTGCTAACCAGACACTTCTGCTCAGTGCAGTTTCAGGAAAATTGTACAACTTGTGGTTTTCACACAGCGACTGTTTGACGTTTACTTTCTAGTTTGTTTGTTTGTTCGTCTGCCTGTCTAATACTGACAGAAAATAAGAAGTGGTTTAATATGATGAACCCCAATGAGCCTCTGGCAGCAGCTTTAACATGTTTTTACATTGGTTCTCTTTACACACCCTTTTTATTATTTATTAAATTCATTTCATTCATAAAACAATCTGTACACAGTAAAATAAATCTTGTTTCATCTGCTCTTTATTTATGGCCAGCCTAAGGCCCACCTGTGCACTAATCATGCTGTCTAATCAGCATCTTGATATGCCACACCTGTGATGGATTATGTCTGCAAAGAACAGAGTTGTACAGTAACTAAGTACAAATACTTTGTTACTGTACTGAAGTAGAATTTTGGGGTATCTGTACTTTACTTGAGTAATTATTTTTCAGCCTACTTTTTACTTCTACTTCTTACATTTTCACACAATTATCTGTACTTTCTACTTCTTACATTTTAAAAAAGGCAAGAAGTAGAAAGTTGTTACTTTTACTTCATTTTTACTTGTTTTCATTCCAGCTTGTTATTGTAAAATATAAAAAACATCATATAAATTGTGCCCTTTGCAGCCCTCTGATAGATTTTCATTTTGGAGAAAAGGTTTGGGCACCTTTGATAAACTTAGACTAGTGCATCCTAAATTTAACATAAATTATTTTAATAAAAGTCATTTCTGCATTTTTTTGGGGAGGTCACCTCCTAATAAATGTCATTATGTAAAATCTAACTGCTCATTTTAAATCAATACTTTTACTTTTAATACTTAAGTACAAAAAATATCAGATACTTTAAGACTTTTATTCAAGTAATATTCCTAAAGGATACTTTAACTTTTACCAAAAAAAATTTTGGTAAGATACTTGTACTTTTACTCAAGTATCACTCTGTGGTACTTTATCCAACACTGGTAAAGAAGTGCCCCCCAACACAGGTTTACACAAATTTCTGAACAATATTTAAAGGAAGGTGGTCTATTGCAGTGGTTCCCAAACTTTTTATCTTCTGACCCACAAAATATTGTGAAAAACTTGTGACCCCAAATATTACTGGTCTGAGTACACAAACTTCACTAATAACCCTAAAAACACAGGCTTTTTGAC